AAACGTACAAACATACAAGTATAAGTGTCAAATCATCAGTAAACTTTATGTATATAAAACAATCTGGCCAACTTATGAAAAGTTACGGTGTTGCCACATTTTACTCTCCTCAGAGAAACGACAAATTATTAAATTTATCAATAAAATAATTGAAAAGTTTTTATATTTTGTGATTATTCGCTATTTTTATGTTTATTTTGACATTTTAAACCACTTTGTACGAGTAAATTATTTCATTTTTATAAATTAAATTTCGTGCTGTAAGGTTGGATTTGGGTATATCATTACTGTCAAAAGTTTCTTATTATAATTCAGAAAATTATAAAATTCTCAGAAAAAAACAACAAAAATTCAAAAAATACATTTCTGCAGTCTAGTTGTAAATAAATGATAACATTCTACGCAATTTATATTACTCAAACTATATAAGAAGAGCATATATTCGTCAAAATCAAATTTTAGCAACTTTTTGCTACGATTGTACGTACAAAACATCCTTAACGACTATTGCGCAACACAAGTGCGGTATAAGCGATGCGTCATGCAGCGCGACGCATATAGTGTGATACTGATAATTCATTTTTGAAAGATGCGATTTCGGAACATAATAAAATCATATGGTTAAATTCAACGTAAAAAATGCTACAACTTTTGTCATTACAAAAATTTTGAAATTCGAAAAAATAATAACAAGGGGTGGGAGTAAATTAAAAAAAATTACATTTTTTGAAAATCCAACTACACAGTTATAAAGCCTATTACAAGCCATACAACTTCTATTTGAGACATTTTTTTATATCTCCTACGGTTTTTGGCAATAGTTACACACAAAGAAAAAACCGTTTTTTTTTAAAAGGTTGTTTTACCCCTTAAATTTGAGTTAGGGCCGCTAATAAAAAATACGTGTCTCCTCAAATTGTATGTTTTACAACATATTTCAAGGAGAATCAAATCGGGAGGGGACACTTGTGAACGTTCCCTGTTTAGAGCCAGAGCTAGGTTTTGATGCTCAAAATTCGTTATGTATTATTTCGTTACAAAAACATAAGAAACAAATATTTTGGCCTTAAGGATTAGGCCATCTTTAGTATATACATTCTATTTGGTGTGAGACGCAAACGCAATAAAATCAAATTAAAGGGATCCTAAAGTCGAGTTTTACTGACCAAACGCCATAATTTTTTATGACAAAAATTTTTTTATTGATTGATTAGAAAAATGAATCCTTCTCCAGGAATAAAGTATACATCCAAACTTAGGTTTACAAACAAAGTTTGAGCCAAACAAAACAAAAAAAATTAAAGAAATATGTATCTGCTTACCAACTCTTAGTTTAATATTCTTTTTATAGAGTTATGCAGTTGTATACAGGGTGATTCAAAATAACCTGATGTCCTTGCCATATTCTTGAGCGAATTCTGAGAAGATTTTTTCTTTTACAAAATTTTGTCCGAAACTCAGTTTTCAAGTTCTAATTGAAAATAGTTTGCTACTTACGAGTCCAATACAACGGACAGTCAGGGATGGTGCAATGCGTCATAAGACGATAGTAAACACTTGACAGTCTC